CGCAATGTTTCTCCGCGTAGTCGCTCATTTTGTCGAAGACGTGGGAAGGGATGTTCCCAGAGTCCATGCTGGTAACGGTTAGGGAGAAGTCGACGGAGTTCTCTAGAGAGGTGTGGATGAGGGCGTCGGTGCAGTCCCCGAGATGGGGCCGATAGGAGGTTCGGCGACGGCTGGTGTTATCACAAACCTGAAAATTGATTAATAAAAATAAACATACCCATATCACAATTATAGTATAGTCCATCCGGTTAAATTTTGCCACAACGTGACCCCCACTTTTTCTCGTTCAATTTTGAGAGTTGAAACGTGAAACAAAGTTGGCAAGCACCGCACGACCGAGATGCATCGAAATCCGGTGTAAAAAAATATCGGCGAACGTGACCGTTTTTTGGGACATCTACCCCGAAATTACCCCGAAATTGTCCCGAAACGGCACACATTGCCCCGAAACGCTCCAGCACACAATCTGAAGCAGTGATGAACATCGCGTATCGATTTGCCGCATTCGATGTCGATATTTTAGCGATACTCAACATTGACATCGCTGAATTATTTTGCCGATATGTCGGTACAGTATCGACTAAACATCGAGTATCGGCGATACACGATACGATATTTTCAGACACGGGCCCCCCAAATATGACGTACATACTACCTTTTGAATTGGTAACACCAACTACAACAACAAAGCACATAGCGAACAGCACACCATCACACCCTCTACGCTCGGTCCCGCACACCGCAAACCACTACATGAGCCTTTCAGCTTTCGGTTTTACCCCCAATGTGAGCACCTTGTTTTTTTTCTGCATGTATACCGTTTACGACACAAAATAACACACCCCCTGGACCGATTTTCAAAGCTCCATTTTTCAACAGCAGAGAGAGCGGTGGTGTCGAGAACGGCGGCGTCGAAGCCGTCTTGTCGAGGTGCTTCCCGAAAATGCATCGTTTCGTTAATGTATGTTCTTCGTCGTGGCGTAATCGAGCTTTGGAAATCGGTCCAGGGGGTGTGTTATCTTGTGTCCGTATACGGTAGTATGTTGTTGTGCACCTCTGTGGGTCGGTCAGTGCAGCAGGTAACAAGACAAGACTGGTACAGTATTAAAGCTACGGGTTAGTCTCGGTTGACGAAAAGTTATCTACTACTGTATGTACTTGTACGTCATTAAATATAGTCTCTGTGCCTTTTGTATGCCCTTCCAAGCTGCGTCTCTCTCCCGGAGCTTCGCACACCTTCCAAACGCCACTAATACCGTATATGACACAAGATAACACACCCCCTGGACCGATTTCCAAAGCTCGATTACGCCACGACGAAGAACATACATTAACGAAACGATGCATTTTCGGGAAGCCCTCGACAAGACGGCTTCGAA